TACCAAATATCCTGATATTACTGGATGAAATGATACCAAATATCCTGATATTACTGGATGAAATGGTACCAAATATCCTGATATTACTTAATCAGCCCAGGGGTTTGTTTTTTATATGGTTCAATCTGTGAGTTAGCCGTGCTGTTTCTTAGATCAGCGCATACGTTATTTCAGAGTTCGATAAAATTTGGACTAAGCCATGCTGACTTTTTTGTTTAACTCCTTATTCAGAATGGTTGAGATCAATGCAACTATTCCAATCATCAAAGACTTGACGATCGCTGTCATGGATTATGATCTCATTAGCAGAGATGACTTGATAGGAGAGACCATCGTTGATCTAGAAAATCGGTTCCTGACACGATTCCGTGCTGGCTGTGGAATACCACAGACATACTGCACGTAAGTACTGACCAACAGGGCTTTAAATCATTTTTTAAGACTATTTTACTTAATTAGTGGTTTTTGTATAAGTGGAAAAATCCGGTACTGACATACAGCACATAAATGGTAAGACATGCCGAACCACAGCAATGGCTCAGTCGTAATGCCGTCATAGTGCCGGGTTTTATATTAAGTAAAAGGACTTGAGAGACCGGACAACTGCTGACCAGGCTAGATAAAATGAACATTTTAAATATATGCGGTTGCATAATACCATTACGTTCGACATATGCAGCCGATTTTGAAAAAAATATTAAAAAAATAAAAATAAAAATAAAAATAAAAAAAATCGCTGAGAAATGAAGGTATTTATGGCATCGTTTTCGTGATTGTCCGGTTTCGACCCAGTCTTCCCACAATATGAAACCCGGCAATTGTCTTGCAGTGATTTCCGCGATCGCAAAGTTGTGAGGTGTAGTTACTCCATATGCCGAACAGTAAGATAAGGTATGGCTATTTGCCGTATCGTTTCCCACTTGTACGAAAACAGCGCGCTCTAAATGGTTACTTTTGGTCTTGTATCTTCAGGTCGGGTCCGAATCAATGGCGAGATTCACAGACTCCTCGTCAAATCTTAGACTCGTGGTGCGCGTCACAAGGAAAGCCAAAACCACAGTATCTTGGCAACACGCAGCTTGTACTAGAAGACAAAGCCTATTCGCTACAGGACTTTGGTATGTCATCATCAATCAATCCTGGGTGACTAGTTAACAAAACCTGTAGTTTTTTTGGACTCCGCGAATAAGAAAGATACCTTTGATCCCACTGCCTTGATTTGGGGGCCTTTTTCTTCGGGTTCCCCACAGGGTTTACTCCGAAAAACCTAACAAGCTAAGTTTCTATTTAGTATGATCTTTGAGCTAGCCGTGCACTGTCTTAGATCAGCCCAGAAAGGTTGTTTCGGGTCTGGATCTGTGACAGCCGTGCTGTGAGTTAGCCGTGCCCTGACTATCAGCCCAGAGGTTGTTTCAGGCTTTGATCTGTGAGTTAGCCGTGCACTGACTTAGATCAGCCCAGAGGTTGGTTAACGGCGTCGATAAACTTGAAGTTGTTGAACGATGCATCGCTGAGTTGTTTCGAATCATTGTTTTCCATTGTGTCAGTCTTGAAGAGTTCTGACGTCTGGTTTTCGTTGATTTAATTTGAACAGAAGAAGGAATGATGCACCATGCACACCTTGGCCCTCCTGACCAGAGGCTTGCTTTACACGTCTTGAACACTCTACCCATTGTACCTGAACACGTCGAGACGAGATCCTTGTACAATACACTTCAGCCTAATATTGAACAGGTGCGTTTAGTTATAATGCGTGTCCTGAGATTTTTTTGCTGTGATATGTTATCTCGCACGTCATGTGGTTTGAACCATCAACATGGTGGAATGTGATAACGTGATTTGATACTGACTGTATCGTTATTAATACGTTCATGTAAGGTTTTAAAATGTATAAAGAGGGTCCTTAAAGGAAGGGAATTCTAACCCCATTTCTCAGCCCCTATTTTGACCAAATCCCATAGTCTCAGCCTATGTTTTGTTCACATATCAGGCCCATTCCTATTGCTTGAATGTTTTTTGGTTTTTGAATCCCATTCCCATTGCATAAAATCCAATTTTCCCAGCCCCAAAAAGGCAAATCCCAACTCCCCTTTTACCCCTTCGGGACCCTCCATAAAGTAAACAGATTACGACTTGAATTCGAATTAATCAGGAAATATAAAGAAAAGCTGCAATTGATAGACAGGACGTTCTCTTTCTTGTGTTTCATGTATGCTACTGTTGTTTCCTGCAGGGTAAACTACAGATGTGGGTAGATATATTCCCTAAGCACCTTGGAACTCCAGGATTGCCGTTTAATATCTCACAACGAAAACCAAGCGAGTAAGTGACTCTATTTAATCAATGTGAATAAGAAGGAAGCTGGATATTTAAAAAAGTATATGTATTTGATTATACTGACGTTTCAAAAGGTAGTCCAACACCACAACCCTTCCCCTGAATCCAACCCTGATTTATCACTGATCCTTGACATGCATTCTGAACACGAGTCAGTCGTTACGAAGCTCAATGTACTATGTATGTTAACTATGGCGTTATTGATATCTAGGTACGAGTTACGAATCATCGTCTGGAACACCAGTGACGTCATTCTGGAGGAAACATCAATCACAGGCGAGAAGATGAGTGACATTTACGTCAAAGGGTATGTTGGCTTTTCTACATTAAGATAACATTTTGGCCTCTTTACAAATGAAACCAATTTAGTAGGAATGTGACTAAGAAATAAATGAAAAACAAAAGAAATCACAGGGACACCACAACAGCTTTCAATAATTTAATATTGTGGGCCCAATAGTCGACCTCTTGAAGCACATCGGAATGCAGCTCCATTTCGAGGGCAAAACATTGTTTCCAATTCTCAAGAGATTAGAATTATTTTGCCTTGTCCTCCAAATTGAACTCTTTGAAGTCACATGCATTGCATACATGACCATGTATAGTGACAATTGTTCTTATTTCAAGATGGATGGCTGGTGCAGATGAACCTCAGAAGACTGATGTACACTACAGGTAAAAACTTCAAAACCTAACATGCAAAATTTTAATAGACCTCTTCGGCTCTGACGTAATGTTTTCCCATTTCAGACCACATGTCGTTCCCTAGAGTATCATTTCTTTGTTTAAGGTTTGCACTCGGTTGCACATGAGAAGACACATGAATATGGATACAGCTCAAACAAAGAATCTTATTCTCAAGGGAATGACACGTGGTCTGAAATGGAAAAACATTACGTCAGAGCCGAAGAGGTCTATTCAGTTTGTGAGTTTACCATGTCCTGACTTTGATCAGCCCTGAGGCGGTTTCAGGATCTTAATACATCGATGTAAAATGTTGTGCTTTTTGCAGGTCTCTGGATGGAGAGGGCAACTTTAACTGGAGATTTATCTTTCCATTTATGTATTTACCAGCCGAGAAAATAATGGTGGTTCGTAAGAAGGTAATCCACAATTACAGAAACTAAAAAGCAATACTTTAGATCAGACAGTTTTGAGACTTGTTGTTCTTCGTTCAGGAACACTTTTGGAGTCTTGACGAGACAGAGGAGAGAGTACCACCTCGCCTAATAATCCAGGTCTGGGATAACGACCAGTTTTCTCCTGATGACTTTCTTGGTAAGTGGACCGTTATATACCCATTCAGATTAGGCTTAACGTGTTCAGGCCATGTTTATTCCCTTGAATATCATATCTTTGTTTATCTGTAAATCTTGAAAAACTCAAACAAAGAATCGTATCATGCTTCCCCAGGCCACGTGGTGTTCCCTTGAGTATGGTAACCTTGTTTACCTACGAATTTCAGCTTTGGTGCAATGCTTTCTCGTTTCAGGCCACATTTTATTCCCTTGAATAATATTTTCTTCTTTATCGTTTATGAATGATACTCAAACGAATGATCCTATTCTAAAGGGTATGACATGTGGTCTGAAATGTCCAAAGCTAAATAGTCCCCTTTACAGTTCCCTGCACCATCTTGAAAGGTAACCTTGCCAGGTGTTAGAAAAAAGGTATCTACCATTGCACGGTTACCTTTCAAGATGGCGCAGGAAACTGTGAAGGAGACTATTGGTCTATATTGACTAGATATTTGATTAGGTTTTAAATAAAGAAAAATACTGAAAATTTAAGCAAAATTCCATTCTTATATATGTGATATCCAGGTCAACTAGAACTGAACATAGACCGTATGCCCAAGCCAGCTAAAAGTGCTCGCAAATGTAACCTCTCCATGCTGCCGCACGTCGAAGGCAGCAAGGCAAGCAGTCAAATCGAGATCGTGTCTCTCTTCGAGCAGAAAAGAGTGTATGGTTGGTGGCCGTGTGTTAGCGAGGAAAGCACTTCAGAAGAGATGCAGTTGACCGTAAGGATAAAAATATTACAATAAACTAATCGCAGATCAAAAAGATAACAGTCTACATCACTTGCAATTCCCTGTGCCATCTTGAAAAGAAGCCGTACCTTTGCATCGAAGCGAGAAGAACCGTGAAATTGCAATGATAGAGACATGTGAATGATTGTCCAAGGTGTTAAAGAAAGGTCCTTATCATTGCAAGGTCACCGTTCGTCTCGCTTCGATATAAAGGCACGGCTTCCTTTCAAGATGACGCAGGGAACTGTGAAAGGGATTATTCTAAGCATTTCTTACACGGCAGCCATGTTAGATTGTTCTTCTAGAAATAACTCGTGAAACAAACTGCTTCAGGATCAGTTTATTATGCGTATCCCCCCCCGGGGGGGGGGGTGTGGTGGTAGTCTTGCCCATTTAGGGTAGGGATGTGCCGCTGAGCCCACTGAACCCTGACCCACTGAACCACTGAACCCTGAACCGGAGTAAAATCGCTGAAATTCATACCCTTTTCCAGAGCAAGGTCGCTGAAAATCATAACCTGTTCCGGTATTGCGAAAATGGATACCCTGTTCCAGAGAGGAGAGAACGTGATTTTATATACCCTGTCCAAGAGCGAGCGGGATTTTATATACCCTGTTCCAGAGTAGAATCGCTGAAAACCATACCCTGTT